TTGAGTTTTCCTTTTGTTCCTTCCAGATCTCCTCCTTGCTTTTCTCATGGTCCAGCTGTATTTGCTTAAAAATCTATTTTTCCTTGCTTTGCTTTTCACTCATTTCAGCCCTGCCCAGCTCTGTACCTTCACCTGCATGCTTCTCTAGACAGCCCAGAGCCCAGACACATCTGAGACTGAGCATATTTTCCAGTTTGTAGGTGAGTTTTCCTTTTGTTCCTTCCAGATCTCCTCCTTGCTTTTCTCATGGTCCAGCTGTATTTGCTTAAAAATCTATTTTTCCTTGCTTTGCTTTTCACTCATTTCAGCCCTGCCCAGCTCTGTACCTTCACCTGCATGCTTCTCTAGACAGCCCAGAGCCCAGACACATCTGAGACTGAGCATATTTTCCAGTTTGTAGGAGTTTCAGGCGTTTGCAAAATTAGGCATATGCCTCTCCATAACCACCTGGTCCCAAGAGTTCCTTTTGTCCAGATCAAGTTTCCATCTATGCAAGTAAACGATAGCAGCCAGTGTGCCATCCTGGAGCTGGCATGACTTGAGTACAGTTTTCTCTATGCAATTTGTGTGGTCAGGAAACCTTTCTGACCTCTTTTAAAAAGTGAGATCACTCCTTGCAGGAGCAACCCAGACTTAACTGGTGTGCTCTTGGGTTGTATGTTTCCCGTTAAAGATGTGAAGGACATTCCTATCCTCCCTGGCCAGTCATTCACCTACAGCTGGAAGCTCACCCCTGAGGATGGGCCAACGCAGGCAGATCCTCGCTGCCTCACCCGTTTCTACTACAGCTCCATCGACCCAGTCCGAGACACAGCCTCAGGTCTGATTGGGCCCCTCCTGATCTGCTTTCAGAAGTCCATGGATCAGAGGGGAAATCAGGTGGGTCTTTCCTTTGTTGCCTCAAATGCTAGGCTGAAATGCTGAAATAACTGTGGTGGGTGAAATACTTAAGCAAAACCAAGATTTCCCTGTTCTCTTCAAACCTATCATCAGTCCTAATGCCTCTGCCTTCTCCATCCTCCCTTTCATGCTCCCTTTTCTTCACACCTGGACCCTAACTCCTGTGAAATAGTGGTAATCTGTTCCCCATGCACCCAGACCTGAAAGCAACACTGGGTCCTGGAGGTGCTCTGATCAGACCAGGAATAATTGCTTCCACCTCCCTTCTAGATAATGTCAGACAAGACAAAGTTGGTGCTGTTTTCAGTCTTTGACGAGAATCACAGCTGGTACCTGGAGGAGAACATTAGGAGGTTCTGCTCTGATGCAGCCCATGTGGACACCCAGGACCCCCAGTTTTATGCCTCCAATGTGATGCACAGTGAGTATTTGGACAGGTGCTCCCTGCAAAGCCCCAGCAGGCACAGGCTCATCCCTGCGCCAGGGAACGAGCAGGGGACACGCAGCAGCTCAGCAATGGGGGGAATCAGGTCCTGATGAAGTGTCTCACCCCTGCCCTCTTCCAGCTATTAATGGCTTTGTGTTTCACAACCTCCAACCAAAACTCTGCCTGCATGATGTTGTGTACTGGTATGTCCTGAGTGTTGGAGCCCAAACAGATTTCCTCTCCATCTTCTTCTCTGGAAACACGTTCAAGCGCAACATGGTCTTTGAGGATGTGCTTACCCTGTTCCCATTTTCTGGAGAAACCGTCTTCATGAGTTTGGAAAAGCCAGGTTAGTAACATGGGCTGTTCTATAAACCATGGGCTCAGCATGAGAGCAGAGATCAATGACCACCTCCAGCCAGTTCTCTGCTAACCAATTTCATTTTGACAGCTCTGAGAGCAAAGGGATGCACAACCTACTGGAACAGCTGAGAGGCAATTATCAAATCTTTCCAAAGCTTAAATCAAATAAATTACTGTATTTTACTTCATTACTAGGGTGTGTTAAGGCCACACATGCTGCCCAGTCAGTAAGCTGGCTGCAGTAAGGTGAGCCTGGTGGACATTTGCACCCTTGGCTCCAATCTTGGAGGTCAAGGGGAGTGGGAGTGCTGTCCCTGCTGTGGGTTCAGCTGCTGGTCATGGCATTTATAGTAACACCTTTGCAAGGGCAGAAATTTGAGCCACAGAGAAGCCCTAGAAAAGATTTGCTTCAGAGTTCAGTTATGTTCCCCCCACCCCAGCATTTTTTCCTTAATGTTTGCAAAAGTGGTGCGGTCAACAATTTCCTCACTCACAGAGGAAGCACAGGACTTGCCATGAGATTGCAAACACTGATATGATGGTCATGAGCACTGCACCCTGAGCACTCAGGGTTTCTACATACCCCAGGAAGCTTTCTAAAACCCAGCCAAGCATTGCATCCGTTTGAGCTTTGATTTTTGCCTGCTGCTCTGAAAGCAGACCAGCAGCTCAGCCAGCAGCAGGTGACAGCTCTCCCCAGCGTCAGAGCCCAGTTATCACATGCCTCACCCACTCTGGGTGCCTGCTTGCTGCAAAGAGCAAACACATTGGCTAGGGATGTGAGCAAGATGCAGCCTGTCAGTTCTTTCTCCTTCAGTGGGAGAGGTGTGATGGCTGTGTTTGGGACAGAGGTGTATTTAACAGCACCAGAAAGACTTAGGGGTGGATTATGGTGATTGCTGCTGCTGGAGGCTCTGTGGGTTCTCAGTGCATTACCTGTTCTCACCATGCTATACCTGTGCCTCACAGGTGTGTGTAGGTCACCAAGCTCTGCTGATGGTGCTTGTCAGGACTGGCTCTGATGTTGCCAGCAACCCAGTGAGTCCAGCTCTAAGATACTCCAGGCTCTCTGAAAACAGGAAATCACTACCATAAACCAGAGGCTGCCTGAAAATACAGGTTGCACTAGCATGGGGGTGGCAGCTCTTCTGATTTCCCACTGTGTTGGGCTGATGGTGTCCTCTTGTCCTCTCGAGACAGGTGTCTGGACACTGGGCTGTCTGAATTCTGATTTCAGAGACCGAGGGATGCATGCCAAATTCACAGTCTTGCAGTGCCAGCATGACACTGATGGAGAAGATTATGTGTATTCTGATGAGGAGGAAGAGGAGGCCTTTGATTTACAACCCAGGAGCTTCTCTAAAAGAAAGAATTGGGGCAAGCCATGTGTGAATGAGCAACTGAACAACATCACGTCTTCCAGAAATGAGACAGAGAAGACAAGATTGTGCTTGACAGAACCCAGACAGGGGGCCCTCCAGAGCAGTGACAGGATTTCGGATCCCTCCTCCAATGGCACATCAACATTTTTAGGAACAATGCCAAATCCTCCTGATATTTCCATGTCTTCTCCACCAGAGACAAACTATGACCCAGTGTCCTATGAAAACTTCCTTGAAGATGAAGAAGAATTGTCAAAAATCATGAACCAGGATGAAGGGTTTGGAGCTCTCCCACCTGAAGAACACATGGTGAGTGTCAGGGTCCATGGTACTGTGAGCTCAGAAGAAGGTCAACAATGGCTTCAACAAGCCACACCAACTCCAAAAGATGCTCTGGCAGGAAGGAAGGTGACAAAAATCTCAGAGGGGCAGGATCCAGTAAAAGGGGCAATGGTCCAGCCTGGTGATATGACAGAGATCCTGGAAGCAGAGCCTCAAATGACAACTACTCATGGAACAAGCTTGTGGCACTCAATTGCTTATGCTGCTAGGAAAGCTCCTCTTCAAGAGAACAGGAGCTCATTTCACCTGAATGACCTGGAGCACAATCTGGGACTCCAAGACATGTCTTCACAGGGTTCTGAGGACAAGCTGCTGAAAGGGGCTGATAAAATATCCTTTAATCTATATGACTCAGAGGAGACAATCAATACAGAACCGTCCTTAAGTATTGATCGTAAGTCTTCCTCCACACTGAATCTTTCTGCACCTTCAGATGAGACAGGAGATAACAAGAGTTCTCATGCTGTGGTTCACAATCAAGCCATAGAAAGCAATTATTCACCAAATGAACTAGATGCTAGGCTGGAAGAAAGACCTCAAAAAGTTGTTTCACAAGACTTCTATGAACCTTTTGAAGAGAAAAATGTTTCTTTCTTAGACCTAGGACCCAGCAAACCTGTACAAGGCAAAACCTACACAGATGAGAGTAACTCTTTGCCTGTAAAAAGTGGTGCAGAACACCAAGCCAGTGAACTTGCTAAAGTCACAAACCTTCTAGATGCTACCTTTGCACACACCAATGACCTTGAGCCTTCCAGCTATATAACCACAGAAGAGAGGGATGAAGTAATCTTGGAGGACGTGTTTCAGGATGCTACAGCCGCTAAGGAATTATTGGAGCTGGACCGTATTGCCTCTTCTGAATCAAATGTTGTGGTCAATGACACAAGGTCATTCCCAAATGCTATCTTAAAGAGCCCTGAGCAGTTTCTGAGACACAGAAACATGAGTGGCCCTGACTGGGGACCTCAACAAGCCAAGTCACTGCAGAGCAGAGACTTGGTGCATGGTCTGGGTCTTTCTAACACCAGCTGGCCCAGCAGCAGGAAGCCCCTCTCTGATGGTAGGAGAATAGAGCGGGATCTGGCCAGCCAGACCCCTGAGACAGCAGTGAGTAAGAAAGCTCCAAAGGTGTGTGGACCTCATTCCCCTTTTTGCAGCACTCGCTTCAAAAAGAGGTCCCTGATATCAAGCGACACCTTGCCTGAGGTGATGGTGGCCCGGCAGAGCCTGGAAAAAAAATCCAACACGGCTGAGAGGAGACTACACCCAAGCATGGATGCTCTACAGGCTGATGAGATGTATCCTGAGGCAAGGCCAAGCACAGATGGGGATGTACAGAGCAGCAGTGAGGTGGGCCAGCGCAGCAGACGCTCCTTCCCCATACAAGGAGCACCAGGGACCGAGGCAGCAATGGCAGCAAGAAGCTCAGAAATGCAGGTTGCTGCTGAGGCTGCAGACGTGGCCTCAAACTGGGACCCAGTCTCCCTGGGGGCAGCGGCACACAGCAGGCGCTTGCAGAGCCCAGCTTTAGCTGAGGTGCAGCCAGGCAGAGATGTGGTCTGGGGGGCTGCTGGAAGCCAGCAAGATGGGGGGAGAAGTCAGATGGAAGAGGAGACAAACTCCCTGGAGCAGCTGGGTCAGTTCAGTCCTCAGCCTCCCCAGCTCAAGGCAAATACCACAGAGGACTACATGCCTGAGAGACTGCCTGGGCAAAGCCCAGAAGAAATGCCTACGAGACCAGCCATCAGAGAAGGTCAGGGCATAGGAGAGCCCAAGGAGGATGGAGAAAGCAACAGCACAGCTGGGGAGAGGAACCATGCACCAAGACATAGGGAGGAACCAGCTATGAACAACAGGACCCATTCCAGCCTCTCGAGGCCAAAGGCTGCCAAGCCAGACTATGATGAGTATGAGGACAGTGACACAGAGCAGACCATGAAGGACTTTGACATCTATGGGGAAGAGGAGCATGACCCACGTTCCTTCCAGGGGGAGGTACGGCAATATTTCATTGCAGCAGTGGAGGTGATATGGGATTATGGAAATCAGAGACCCCAGCACTTCCTAAAAGCCACGTAAGTGTGATTGTCCCTCATGTATTCCTCCTGCACTGCATGGCATGGCTTGATGCATGAGTTGGCATGTCCTGGCAGGCAGGATCACAGATCTGTATCAGTACAACCCAGCCAAGCAGCCCAGGAAAAGATACTCCCAGCACCTTCTCTCCACCTGGGGGGTTTTATAACTCCAGAAACCTTGAGCTCCCTTGCAGGGATGCTCTGGCTCTGTATCACCCCCGCTCTGCAGCTTTGTCATGGCTGTCCTCACTATGGGACAGCATCACCTGACTGACTTAGCTGCCCTCTCCCCGGCAGGACTCCCTGGAGCAGCAGGAGGAAGCGATCCTGGCAGTACCGAAAGGTGGTTTTCCGAGAGTACATGGATGAGTCTTTCACGCTACCGCAGATGCGGGGAGAGCTGGACGAACACCTGGGCATCCTCGGGCCATACATCAGGGCAGAAGTTGGAGATGTCATCATGGTAAATTTAAAGTCGCCATTTCCTATAAAACCAGAAATCCCCCCATTGCTGTCTGAGCTCAGCCAGAGGGAGTGCTGAGGTAGGCCTGCAATGCCCGTGGGTTAACCTTCAGGATTCGGGGGCAGGAGCTGCCCTGTTGGCACATGGATGGCACCAGAGCAGAAAGGGAAAGCCACCATTCAGAGGGACCTCAGTGGCTGGAGAAATGGGCCAGCAGAAACCTCACAGTGTTCAGATGCAAAGTCCTGGACCTGAGATGGCCCTACCCTTGCAGTAGCAGAGCCTAATTAGCTCCTGGGCTCCATGGGGACTCTTTAGGGTGAAGAGATTGCAAAAAGGGTAATGAGCTAAGCAGGCCCAGTACAGCTTTTTCAGGTGCTCTATGTGAGGGCAGGCTTGGGCTTCCTGCACCACCAAACATCCTTCAATACCCACCTAAGAAAGAGGTGAAAGGCTCTTCCCTGGGCTCAGGACTTATATGCCTGGAGAAGTTGCTCAGTTTTCACAGAAATCCTCATCAGGATGTATTCAGCACCTTTGGTCTCCAGAGACAGTAGCATGGCTGACATTGCTCGCATTGAGCAGGGAGAGAGCTTCATCCTACTGACATGACCAGGGTGTGGTTTCCATTGTGGATTATACTGCACAGGCACAACTTGTGTTTCAGCAGGGGTTGGCCACTACATGGGCACCAGCTGGGGATCTGCCTCCTTCCCACCAGCTGGCTGGATCCACTCCCAGGGTCCAGGGTTCTCTCAGCACTGCACCTAACCTCTTCCCACACTCCCTTTGCTTTGCCTTCCCTCTGGTGCAGGTTACATTCAAGAACTTGGCCTCACGGCCCTTCTCCTTCCACTCCACACTGACAGCCTATGAGGAGATGCAGGGCACAACGCAGCAGGGTGGGGTGGTGCAGCCTGGTGAGGTCCGGAAGTACTCCTGGGAAGTCCTGCCCCAGATGGCACCCACCAAGCAGGAGTTTGACTGCAAGGCCAGGGCTTACTTCTCCAACGTGGACCTGGTAGGTGTGAGGCTGCTCCATGGAGCATCCCAGGGAGGAGAGATGGGCAGCATGCGTGGGTCCTGGCTGTGAGATCGAGATGTTTCCTGTGGTGTTGTGCTGAAAGCAGCCCGTGGCTGTGTAGTTGTTCAGGTGTCTAATACAGTGATAAATGCTTGTTGGTACTTTCCATTCTTTTATCTTCTCTGAATTTCCCTTTCCCCAGTTGTACCAGCTTATGAGATTTGTAGGGAACTAGCATTCTGCAGTTCCTTACCCCTCTGTCAAATCTGCTTGGATTTGCCCCCTGGGTCCAATGTTAGTGCAAAAGGGACTGTTGTACATTTGGACAGACAGACACACACCACATCTCTTGAAGGCACAGGCAAACACTTGCTGCACAACCTTTCCAAGCTAAGGACAGAGCGGGGATGCCCCAGTGAACCCAACATGTCCTTCCCACCCTGCACTGGCCATGTCCTGAGCAGGAGTGGGAGCCAGGCCAGGAATGCAGACAGGTTCACCACTTTCCTCTCTGCTGTGCCTCTTGCTGACATCAGTGCTGCCTCCCACTCTGAGGCAAACTCTTGTTTCCTGGCTCCCTGGCAGGAGAAGGACCTGCACTCAGGCCTCATTGGGCCACTGATCATCTGCCGCCCTCGGGTGCTGCACTCTGTCTTAAGGCGGCAGCTGGCTGTGCAGGAGTTCTCCTTGCTCTTCACCATCTTTGATGAGACCAAAAGCTGGTACTTCCCCGAGAATGTGGAGAAGAACTGCCGTCATCCCTGCCGTATCCAGCAGGACAACCCTGACTTTAAGAGAAACCATTCCTTCCACGGTGAGGATCCTTGCCCTTTCCATCCCACAGTATTGCGATGGAAAAACCCTGGAGCCTTGAGCCACTCCTAACCACTGCCTTTCTCAGCCATCAACGGCTATGTGAGTGACACACTGCCTGGGCTGGTGATGGCTCAGCAGCAACGGGTCCGATGGCACCTCCTGAACATGGGCAGCACTGAGGATATCCACTCTGTCCACTTTCATGGGCAGCTGTTGAGCGTCAGGACTAGCCAGGAGTATCGCATGGGAGTCTACAACCTTTATCCTGGTGAGATGCCTTGCAGGCACTACACACACCCCATCTGCCAGGGCTGCATGTCTGTGCCCATAGGAAGTGTCAAGCCTGGGGCAGGGCGGTGCATTATCAAGGAGGGGGAATGGATCTGGAAGAGTCTGGCTCTGTGTTTCCATTGTGGCATCCCATTACAGTCAGTAATTCCCCTCTGCTCTGCTCTTCATTTCTGGCCAGGTGTCTTTGGAACAGTGGAGATGTCGCCCTCACATCCTGGGATCTGGCGGGTAGAGTGCAAAGTGGGAGAGCACCAGCAAGCTGGGATGAGTGCCCTTTTCCTCGTGTATGATCTGAGTGAGTGACCCATTTGCTGCCAGAGCTGTGGCCAGCTTGTATTTGAGCTCCCTCCTCCAGATTGCTCAGTGTTTCTCCACGGGTCACCCAAGTGGGATCTTCTGGGTTTTCACTCTGAGAGAAAGTCACAACTTCAGTCCTCACCACCCTGCACAGCCTAGCAGAGAGCACAGATTCAGAAACACAGTTGGGGTGAAGGCTGGGAGAACAGCTTCATTGGCCTGCAAATATTTACTCTTGTTTTCCAAATCTGAGGGTCCCTGGACCTCCCATAAAATGCATTTACCCAAGCAAGTGCATACATAGGCTGGTGCCTGCCCATACTGTCAGTGAGGTACAGTGCCCAGCTGCCTAACCATATTTCAGCAGGTAAACCGAGGCACAGAGTGATGACAGGAGGCAGCAAGTGACACTGCCTGACTACAGGCTGCTCTGATAGAAACAGCCCCAAAAGCAACTGCAAAATCCACAGGAAACCTCTAATTCCACCCCAGAACAACACATTTCTAACTTACCATAAGTAAGCGCGGGGGGAAGTAGTACATGAGAGTAGTATTTTATCCCACAGTTACAGGCTCTCTCCTGTTTCTAAAGGAGTATTAAATGTCAGCCAGAAAACGTTGCCATAAGTTAAAAATCTGCTTAAGATTTCAAATTCCCATTTTCCCCAGAAGCATTTGACACACAGTGGAGATGCCGAAATGTGACAAGTCACTAATAATAATGGTTATTATAAGAGACAAACAGCTCTGTGCTCAGCAGACCAGAAGAGAGACACAGAGAGACAGAGGTGTCAGGTAGACTTTCCTTCAGCAATGTGATATTTGTTTTTAAAAGATGCTGCCTAGCAACAAAAAGGTTCAGGAGCAAGACATGGGTATAAGGAAGAGACACTTGTCAGCACTGCTGGGACATCAGGACATGAGAATGAGAGGTCATGGTCTCAGGGACAGGAGTTTGGCAAGAGGCTGCTGTGGCTGATGCTGGGGACTCTCTGCTGCTGACTTGGGGATTGGGAGCAAGAGCTTCCAACAGCCCTAAAATTCAGGGATGGATGTGGAGGCATCTGAAACCTATCCATTGGTGTGAGACAAACAAGCCTGGGGGCTCCTGGAGGCTTGAGACAACCTCTCTGAGCCTGGAGGCTGCTGCCCAGCCGAGGCTTTTCCCTCAAAACCCATGTTATCTAATCAGCTCTCTGTTTTTCACCCTCCCCGGTTTGCTGCAGACTGTCGGAACGCCCTTGGTCTGGCTTCAGGCCACATTGCAGACTCCCAGATCACAGCGTCGGGGCAGTATGGTAAGTAGGTGTTGTCACTGCAGGGAAGGCAGGTGAGGTCAGGGCAGCTTCAGCCAACATAACCCATGTGCTTGCCTGCCCAAGGTAGAGTCCTTCCTCCACTGATGCCCATGTCAGCATCCCACTAAGGACCTGGAGGTGCCTTTCCACATGTCTGGCACATTGTGTCAGTGCTCTGCCACCCTGTATGTGGCTACTAGACTCTAGGGTGATCCTCAGGCCCAATCCTGTGGATGGACTTGGCAGCTCCAAGGGCCAGCAGCATCCTTGTATTTGTGCTCTTTCCTTGCAGGGCAGTGGGCTCCTTACCTGGCTAGGCTGGATAACACTGGCTCCATCAATGCTTGGAGCACCGACGGCAGCAGTGCCTGGATCCAGGTAAGAGAAGCCCTGTGTCTGGAGGTTTATTGCAAGGTCATGCTCATGGCTGATGCACTGTGCATGGACATAAGGATGGCCAGCACCTCCCCAGCTACATCCTGCTATATCCCACTCCTTCTGGGTGGGGAGCACTGAGATCCTAATGGCAGTTGGTCTGGTTGTGGTTGCTGCTGGCCTGACCCCCCATATCCATCCTCAGTGCAGCAGAAGAATCACTTGATGGTCCAGCTGCAGCATTGGATTGTGCAAAAATCCCCCAAATACCAAGTGAGAACAGCTCACCTCTCCAAACAGCTCTCCCCTGCCCTCTCCCTGCTGTTGCCCTTATGAAGGACTGTTTCAATTAGTTTCACAACCAGTGCTCAGTTATGTCATGAGGAAGCCAGTTCATGGGTTTACAGCACATTGCCTGAACTTGTCTTGGGTTTTCCACCAAAAGTGAATCCCTAACTTTCATTCTCAGGTGGACCTTTTGCATCTCATGATTATTCACGGCATAAAAACCCAAGGGGCCCGACAAAAGTTCTCCAGCTTCTACATCTCCCAGTTTGTTGTCTTCTATAGCCTTGATGGGCAAAGGTGGAAGAAATATAAGGGAAATGCCACCAGCACCCAGATGGTAAGGTGAACAGGTCTTGAGGAGAATGTCTTCCTAGAACGGGATCTCTTGGGGTGATAAGGATGAGGGAGCTCTGTACATAAGGCAGAGATCTACTGAGTCCCTGAGACTAGGGCAGGAACTGAGAGTACTCAGTGCCAGGGTGATTGAATCACAGGTCTGCAAGGAACTTGCTGTCCATGTCCATCTGTCTCATTTTAAATTGTCTGAGCTATCTCTTTCCACAATTCCAGGTGGCTGTGAGATCCACCACCTAATGTTATGTTGCATGTTACTTAGATCTAGGCATAAAATTCTGCCTGAATATCTTTTTTGACCCCAAAGGCAAATCTGGCTTTCTAAAAACGTTGTGCGGTGGCAGGTGATTTGGAGAATCTATAGTCATTACTAAAATACCACAACCTAAATATGCATAAGCTGATCATTCCACTGGGAGAAGAAGTGTATCCAGAAAAACCTCCATTGTGTACACCATCTGTGACCAAAACCTTTTTCAGGATCAAAAGTTTCAGGACTGACTTTTTTTCCTTCTTTTTCTCCCCCTGGTTTGATGAAAATATAAAACCAAGTTCATTTGCATAGTCTCTAGGTTTATCCTTCTCCTCTTCTTTCTCAGTGGTTCACCCTGATTTGTCCCACTCACATGTATGTGATCTGAGTCACAGCTCAAATAATTTCCCTGAGCTGCCATTTCTTGTAAGGACGGTGATAAAATACAGAAGTGCCAGACAGGAATGTTGTTCTCCCTAGTAATCCTTATCCTGTCTAGCTCTCTTCCCACTGGTACAACAATCCTTCTCCTCGCTTTCCCTGCAGCTGTTCTTTGCAAATGTGGATGCAAGCGGAGTGAAAGAAAATCACTTCAACCCTCCAATCATAGCCCGTTACATCCGCATTAACCCCACTCACTACAGCATCCGGACCGCACTGCGCATGGAGCTCATCGGCTGTGATCTTAACAGTATGTCACACCTCCAGATACCAAGCACCTGAGCTGGGGTCTGATCTAGTGGGGTGCTGAGTGCCAGCTCCATGTGTTTCACGACTCACAGACAGTTGTGGAGAGGGAAGGAAGAGGTTGGAGGTGGCATTAAGGTGTTGGGGGAACAGTATGATCCTAGAGACAGCAATACCAGAGGGAGAGCCTGAGGCCAGCTATCACCATCACTTTTACCTAAAGCACCAAAGACTTCCAGCAGCAGCTAAGCGGATCACTGGGGAGCTGCTGCCTCAGTCTGGGGGAACAGGGAACAAGTAGAGACAGATGCTATTGGCTTTTCCTCTGGTCTTGCCACTTCAAGGCAAGTCTACTCTTTCAACATGTGACCTGAGAACTGGTGCTCTGGGATCATTTCTTTGTAGTTTGTACACCAGCAGGGTGGACACTGCAGCAGCTAAAAGCAGCAGCAGCTGTGCTGTCATTCCATGCCTCAAACCTGCCAGCTGGTTCTGAAGCAGCTGTGCACAGGCACACCTGATCATACCCTGTGCAGGGTGTCTCCCTGCCAGGTATTCTTGTCCTTTCCCTAGACACAGGTTCTACTTATGCCACAAATTCTTCACATTCCTCCTAGATAAAACCTCCAGGGAGAGAAGAAGGTGGGACTAGTGACAGGTGTAGTTTGGCCAGAGCTGTGCTGCACACAGGGACCCTATGCAGTGCAGGGGCCATGACACTACAGTGAGGCACAGGAGAATCTGTAACCAGGGAAAGTGCATGAAGGGCAGATGGAGCAGTGAGAAGGCAGAAGGCATCTCCATGATTGGTCTGTTCCACCCTGACAAGCATTTCTCCTCTCTCTCAGGCTGCTTCATGCCCCTAGGAATGGAGAACAGAGGGATCCATGACCAGCGCATCTCTGCGTCCTCCTACAGCACCAACACCTTCTCCAGCTGGTCACCCTCCCTGGCCCGCCTGAACCTTCAGGGGAGGATCAACGCATGGAGACCAAAGGTAGCCCATGCAAGGAGATACCCAAGCAGGCACCCGCGGCATGGGCAGGCAGATGGGATCCCAGCAGGCAGGCTGGGTTCATGCAACCTCTCCAGACAGGGCTGTGTGGGAAGTGTGTACAGCCACATGCACCATGCAAGCTGCCCACTCACAAGCAGGAGAGTTGCCACACTGATTTAGCACTCAGCATCTCCACCCAGATGGCTGGTAGGGCAGGTGAAGCACAGGGCTATCTATGTGCATGGCCAGCTTGGCTTCAGCTGCAATGAACGTGTCTTTCTCACTGCTGCTGAAGGGTTGAAGTCAGTCTGTCCTTTCCCAGAGCAACAGCCCCAGCGAGTGGCTGCAAGTGGACTTTGAAGTAACCAAGAAGGTGACTGCGATCATAACCCAAGGTGCCAAAGCTTTCTTCACCCACATGTTTGTGAAGGAGTTTGCTCTCTCCATCAGCCAGAACGGTGTGCACTGGAGCCCAGTCCTGCAAGATGGCAAGGAGAAGGTAGGCAGAGCTGCTCCATGGCCAGAAGCAGCTCACAGCCACCCCTGGGGCAGCAAGCACCGCACTTGGCAGCAAACATGCTCACATGACCTTTTTTTCAAGAACAGTGAGCCAGGCTGTGATTTTTCCTTCCTTAAAGCATTCCCAGGGGCTGTTTGTCTGGGTTGGTAATGTCCTCAAGTCATGGAGTCACTATACCATGAAAATGCATCCCATATTTCTCTCTCCAGATTTTCAAGGCAAACCAAGACTATGAGAGCACAGTGACAAATACCCTGGAGCCTCCACTCTTTGCCCGCTACGTGAGGATATACCCACGCCAGTGGCATAATCACATTGCCCTGCGAACAGAGTTCCTTGGCTGTGACACTCAGCAGGAGTACTGATGGCTGTGGGGCCAGGCATGGGGACTGCCAGCCCAAGGACCCACATCCCACCAGGCACTGAACTCCCACCAGGGCTGGAGCCAGCCCTCTAGGACCCTGGCTGCCCCTGATGCTGGGGAAGAGAAGGGCTGCAGAGCTTCAAAGGGGCTGGCTCATTATCTGCATTTTCCTGCTCTCCTCTACCAGATGCCATATACTCAGATGTAATGCTGAAGAATTAAACATAATTTTCCAGTATCTCCCTGCACTTTCTCCTCCGCTCCAGCCTTGGAGTCCCTGGGGCCTCAGTCAGCATTACCAGCAGCTAGTAACTAATTAGCCCCAGAGCTTCTCAGCTTCCTTTTGCACAAGCTCCTGATGCCCCAGGCACAGTCCTGGAGGAGAAGGAAGCAGCAAGGATAAGGGCTGGGGGAGAAGGCCCTTCTCCAGGCCCCAGTGTCCATTTCACAATCGGTGGGGATTGGTTGCTCAAGGGAGGTGGCACTTGCTCAACCTGACTCAGCACTGGGCTCTGGGCTTTGGCCCTCCACTTCCCTTCATCTCCTTCCCATAATGCTCCTGATGCTGTGGCTGGGTGCCATCACCCTTCTTTCTGTTGCTGTCTTGAGCAAGCCCTCCTTGTTTGCCACAGGAGGAATTCTGTGGGTGTCTGTGGCTCCCAGGGACTCTGGTGGGACATTGATTGGTCAATGTCCCTCATGGACATTATGTCAAGAGCTGCCACTTGACA